AATGCTTGTCAGAATTTCTCTGCATAGAAATATTAATGAGTTTAATTTATTTTTTGGCGGATCACAACTTAAACCCAAAGCATCAAGAGCTACTCTGGGTACATCCTGGCACTTAGGCCCAGAACTGTCCTTGATTGTGGTCTTTAGTATTACCGCTAGAGGATGCTCCAGACAGACTACTTTTTCAGACTACAGAAAGGCATCTTTGAGAAATCGGGTATAATTATCACAGGAATGAAAAACCGTAATTCACAAAGTGGTTAAAAAATAACACCTTATTCACCTTGAATGAGTTGTGGGGAAGGCAGAAACAACAGCCTTACCTCCAGTGCCTTGGGCACAGTGTTAGGGGGCTGACTGCCTTCAGAAACACTTTAGTTCTTTTTGATGACCAACCCAGCCATCTAGTTCTCCTCTAGGAATTGCTAGTCTGAATTATTCCTCAGTGCCAAATGCTTGATTATTCTTAGCTAATGGCTAAAAGGTACAAGGGTGAAACCTGAAACTGGTTTTCTAAACACAAGTATTTCTAGCTTTTTGGGGGGTTCATTTTCGTTTTCTTAATTGTGTATTATTTAAGGAGTACAACATGATGTTTTGATATAATGATTTATAGTGAAGTGGTTCTTACATTCAAGCAAATCAACATATTAATTTCCCCACATAGTTACACTTTAAATACAAGTATTTCTAATAGAATCTTTAGACTCTTACAAGCAAAGTCATTTTAGAAGGCAGCAAGTGTTACCTGCTGAGCCACACATCACTGATAGTTAATTCTTTTTCCTCTCTGCTGTGTTTGAATTGCTTGTTTGGTAGAAATCACCTTAGAAGTACTTGCACTCTTTAGAACAATTTGAAAATTATAATTGTTTACAACAGGTATGTGTTAAGGACGAGCGGCCCCAGAAAACCCCCTCCATGCAGCAGCTGACAGCCCCATCTGATTGCTCTGCAGCTGCATTCCTGAACTCTAATCTAGGCACCACAGCAGGACTCCCAGACATGCTGTGATTGAGCAAAGCCTGAATACAGCCAGCTGGGCAGCATAGGAGAGGTCATGGGAAACAAACTTTTGTTACACTTACCTGTAAATTTCTGTTTTACACATACCTGTAAAATCCTGTTTTTTTAAACTGCTGCCATGAAAGTCACAGGATGATGTATTGTGAGTCTGTCACAGGCCGACAAACTGTCTTTGTGCTTGTTACAAGCTGATAAATTATCTCAGTCCTGAAACTTCACTTATGCCTCTCTCGCCCATATAAACCCATAGTTTTGTAAGCTCTGGGCTGCCTCCTCTGATTGTTATGGAGCAACCTTGCAGGTTAATAAAACTTGCTAACCTAACTTTGGATCTACTCATCCTTTCTCTCAACTGACTTTACATTTTGGTGCCAAAATGCAAGAAGGGTTAGGCTCTGGCGGGGCGTCCTTAAGGGACACTATTTTTCTCTTTCTCTCTCCCTCCGTCTCCTGTCACCTCTCTCCCAGTCAACACATTGGCAATGAATTTATGGCTAAGTCCTCAAAAGCAATTGCAAGAAAAACAAAAATTGACAAGTATGATTTAATTAAAGAGTTTCTTCATAGCCTGAGAAACTATCAAGATATTGAACAGACAGCCTACAGAATGGAAGAAAATATTCACAAACTATACATACAGCCAAGGCCTGTTATCCAGAATCCATAAGGGACCTAGACAAATCAACAAGCAAAAAGTAAATAACCCCATTAAAAAATGGGCAAAGATCATGAACAGGCACTTTTCAAAAAAACACATATTTGGCCACCAGACATGTTAACAAATGCGTACCATCACTAATCATCAGAGAAATGCAAAAGAAACATCAATGAGATATACCATCTCACACCAGTTAGAATGACTTCTGTTGAAACGTAAAAACAAAGCAGTTGTTGGGGAGACTAAAGAGGAAAGGAACATTTACACACCATTCGTGGTAATGTAAATTCAGCTCCTGTGGAGTGCAGTTTTGAAATTAAGGACTAAGAGTGACCATTGGATGCAGCAAGCCCATTAGTGTACTAGGTGTATACCTAAAGGAAAATAAATCATTGTAACAGGCCGGGCATGGTGGCTCACGCCTGTAATCCAAGCACTTTGGAGGCCAATGTGGGCAGATCACCTGAGGTCGGGAGTCCAAGACCAGCCTGACCAACATGGTGAAACCCTGTCTTAAAAAAATTCATTGTAACAAAAAGATGTATGCATATGTATGTTCATTACAGTACTATTCACAATAGCAAAGACATGGAATCAACCCAGGTGCATCCAAGGTAAATTGAAAATCCAAGGTAGATTGGAAAATGCCATAGACCATGGAAAACTAAGCTGCTGGGAAAACAGTAAAGTCATGTCCTTTGCTGCAACATGGATATGGCTGCAATCCGTTGTGCTAAGCAAACTAACACAGAAACAGAAAACTAATATCTCTTGTTCTCACTCATGTGGGAGCTACACATTGGGTGCACATTGTCGTAAATATGGGCATAGTAGACACTGGAAAATAACAGGGAAGGACAGAGTGGGGCAGGGTTGAAAAACTTATTGGGTCCTATGACGACTAGCTAGGCAATGTATTCAATTTGACTTCAAACCTCAGCATCCCTCAGTATATCTTTGGAAAAAACCTACACAGGTATCACCTTAATTTAGAATGCAAACCAGAAAAAAAAAAAAAGTTTACTGCAAGTGGAGAATAGAACTTTACTTTTAAGGAAAACTTTACTGAAATAAAAAATAGATTAAACTTTTATAAAGGGCAAAGTTTTACTAAGAATTTCAAAACAATGGACTTATTGCAAATTTAATTGTTTAACCTTAGTACTAATAAAACACCACCTTTCTGAAGTTATGTTTATGCAATAGACCAATATTAATTGTATTTTTATTGGATTAATTTAGACAGCATTACACAGATACATACTCTATTATCTAAACTTAAAATAAGTAGAAAATGTATTTTATGTGATTATTTTTCTATTTAAGCAACTTCAAGTTATGTGTAGTTACTAAAAATACTAAAAGCCACATTTTGTAAGTGCTGCATTATTCTCATGATAATGTCTCTTGTTTAAGTTAAGCATTTTTAACTTATTTTCGATGGAGTTGGACTGTGTAGATGAAATAACTAGAGAAACAAGGAAAAGTATGTTGTCAAAATTTATTAAATTGAGGTTTATTTTAGAAATAAACCATAAATAGCAGATAGCATTTCTTTCCATTGTTGGGTTAGTAGATTCTACTACTTTTTTCTTACACACATCTAATGTGTGTATTTTTTCTTACACACATCTAATGAAAGATGTGAAAGCAAAAGCTTTCACAATAAAGAGTGTACTTATGCACCCTTAATTCATCAAGTTCCATGGCTTAAAAAATTCCCAAGAAGTCATCATCAAGTTCTCAGGGTTTTGGTAGAGATTGAAAGCCAGCAGACCTCAGACTCATTTAGAAATACTTAGCTAAGCAATAACCAATCATAAGCAGTCATTTCACAGGTGACATTTTAAATTGTCTATCATTTACTTTGTCATTAGTTTGCTTTTGTTTCAGAAAAAGTTCCAAATTTTTCATTATGGAATAAAAACACGCAGGTCAATGTGATTCTTGTCCAGTTATTCAGCCTTGTCTCTCACCACTTACTGCACTCTGCCCTTTGCTCTAGCCCCAAAGTGGGCAGAATAGAACTCCACAGGACTCTTCCTCACCTCAGGGTCTTTGCCTTGGCCTCCTCCCTCTGTCTGGCAAGATTTTCCTTGTCCTTCAGGTAGCAATCTGCATATCTCCTCCACCAGAAAGCCTACGATATGACACAAAACTGAGATAGATGTCTCTTCTGTGTGTTCCAATTGTGCCCTGTTATATTCCTGTCATAGTGTCTATGACTCTATACGGACATTGGCTGCTTGTCTCTTTTTTAGATTATAGCATATTTGTTATGTTTGATTGTTGAGAGGTAGACCATACCATATTCATCTTGTAATTCCAGTGCTGGTTCTAGTACCTTAAAATATGGCTGTTGAGTATATGATGGAAGAATGGAAAAAGCTCTGATGTTTAACCACAATTATAATTAATGCCTTGTGTAAATACAAGCACATTCTATTTAATATTAATTTTGTATTGTAACAGTACATATGTATTTCCCATTCTTATTAACTGATAAAGTTCTCAACTTTTTAGTTTTTAAACTTACTGTTAGTTAACAGAAATGTTTTAGGTAAAGAACATAATTCTTTTTCTTTACAGCTGTTGCTGTGTTGGACATTTGCTCCCATCTACCGTCTTCTCTAGGATCCACCGATGAGCCACATCTAATGAAGAGAATATCTAAACCAAAAATTTTAAGGAAAAAGTTTATGATTTAAAAGATTATCAAACTTTGTTACTAGGCTATTTACACGATGTCTTAATTGTTTCTGTTAAAATATATAACATCACAGTCTTTACTAAAGTAGAATATTTTCGTATCATATATATGACGAAAATTTATTTGGTCTTTTAAATGATGTTTTTTTGACTCTTTAATTTTAAAGTGGATCTTGTAAAAGAAAACTAGTGTTACTGAATTTGACATACTCAAATTGCCCAAGTGTCAGCTGTTTAAACAGCCAAACAAGCAAATCATCATTGGTAGTTTAGTAGAGGTCGTTGATAGCTTAGTTGCAATTTGCATTTTATTGTTATTATTGTATGCAGTAGGAGACTTAAGGAGTAGCTACCCAGTTTTTCATGTGAATATTAATTAATTGATGAGAGTTTTGCTCCTCACCCAAGCTGGAGAACAATGATGCAGACTCAGCTCACTGCAACCTCTACCTCCTGGGTTCAAGAGATTCTCCTGCCTCAGCTTTCTGAGTAGCTGGGATTATAGTTGCCTGCCACCACACCCAGCTAATTTTTGGTGGAGACGGGGTTTCGCCATGTTGGTCAGGCTGGTCTTGAACTCCTGACCTCAGGTGATCTACCTGCCTTGGCCTCGCAAAGTGTTGGGATTAGAGGTGTGTGAGCCACTGCATCTGACCACTAACATTACCATTTCCTTTTTGTAGTTCAACGTATTTTGTGAGAAGATACGTTGAGACTTTGTAAATATCTTGTTACTCCTCAAAACCTACTAGATTTAGCATTTCATTGGTGATTTGTGTTTGAACAATTATTACTATGATGCTTGCCAAAAGATTATTTTCTGATTCTCTTTTTTGTTCCCCATGGAAAAATAAAACCAATAAATAAGGGAGAAGGAAAAGCTTATGATTTTGGTGCTCAGATGCCCCAAGACTAGGCCAGTGGTAGACATTTCAAGCTGACTTTATGTCTTTTTAATTTGGCCCTTTTACTCTGTGAGTACTTTTTTACTTTCTGGCACATGATGTTACAAGCTAATCTTGTATTTTCTCTCCCCTAGCCCTGGAGTGAGTTTCTTAGAAGCAGAGGTGGAGCCACCAAGGAATCGCATGACCAGCCCTCCCCAGCACACACTCACTGGTCTCCAACAGAAAGAACCACTGCCGCATCCACTGAGGTACCAAGAAACTAGCAAAAGGCCTTCTGTCTGTCTGGGAACAGTCTTCATGTGGTCTCTGGCTCAGCCTCAGAGGTTCTGGATTAGTCTCTCTGCAGCCTCTGTGCTGTGTCTCTGGATTGGGGCCCTGCTGGCAGGGCCCTGGGAGACTCAGCAGCACAGCGTGTCTCCTCTGCCAAATGTTCCTCTCTCCCTCCCACTCTGACACTCAGGAATAGGCTATATGGCATGTCCAGGCAGTGCCAGGCCACCTCAATGTCTCCTTTGAGATGGACCCACAGCGTGCAACTGGGCACCTGGAGCCTGAGGCTGACTATCCCTCCCTGTGTCTTATAGGAGAGGTCTTGTCCCAAGAAAACTCCCAGAGCCTGACCTCTGGGCACACATGCAGGGAGGGAAGGTCTGCGGAATGAGGGGCTATTAGAATGAGACTTTGAGCACCGCTGCTCGGGGGCCTGGTCAGTGGACCATGGTTAGCAATGACCTGGTTCACAGAACCTGGCCAGTTGGAACCTGATTAGCAGGGACCTGGTCAATGGTGGCCTCCTCAGTGAAGGCCTCATTGGGGGACCTGGAGACCTAGTCACTGGAAGCCTGAGCAGTGGGGACCTGGTCAGTGCCGGCCCTATTAGAGAAGCTTGATTGGGTGGAACATAAACAATGAAAAACTGTTTGGTGGGATGTATACAGTATACTTGGGGCCTGGTCAGTCTGGAACCTTAATGGCTTGGGGCGTGGTCAGCTGGGGACGGATTCATGGAGAATTGTTCAGTGGAGGGGTGGATGGTAACATGGTAAATTGTGGTCTTATCAGTGGGGGGCCTGGTCAGTGGGATATTAATCAGTGAGGTTTTGTCTGTGGAGCCTCTTAAGTGGGAGCCTACTTAACCAGGGTCAGTGGGCACTTGATCAGTAGGACCTGGTCATGTGGACCTGGTCAAGGGCCTGGTCAATAGAAACCTGGCCAGCTGGCCGCTCAGGCAGTTAATTTGTCTGTGGAGGCTTTTTGCTTCCATCTGTAGGAAAGGTGATTCAGGGAACCCTGGAGGGTTGCAGGAAAGAGGAGGTAGGAAGACGTGGTAAATCCAGCACTGCTGGGCAGACCTAGGACTTTACAATCTGGGTTTCACCTAGAGAGGGTGACAGCCCTCTCTGGGTGAAACCCAGATTGTAAAGTCCTAGGTAGAGAGGGTGACAGCCCTCTCTGCCCTGCCTGGTGCCCCTTCTCTGTCTGCATCCCTTGGACCATTCTGGGTGGGGAGGGCAGAGATTTGGGAGCACCTGTGGAGGCTCGAATACTGACCCTGGGCCCTGGTGGTAACAGTGAGGACGTAGGTGTACCCATGTGTGGAGGAACTAGGCCTGGTCAGAGAGGAGGGACAAACACATGCATACACAGACACACTGTATGCACATGTCAGTTCAGGAGGTAGAGGACATTTGACTCTGAGTCCTGCTGACCCAAGCACGTTCCTGTTGTGATGGGTTGTGTCACCCATGATGTCCTCCTTGCTGAGCCCCCATTGTCTGTGTTGTGGAGCAGCTAGAGACACGCAGCAGTGTCTGTCAGTGGCTCTGCCTGCAGGACTGTTTTCTACGTGAGAGGTACATCTCAGCATAGCTGACTGATCAGACTCAATTTAGTGGAACCTGCTATCTTGTCCTCCTCCTGGCTTGGGAACCGTTGCTACCAGATTGGTGGTTTTGGCCTCTGGGCAGCTACTGAGGGTAATCCCTGAGTACTCACCGGGTGCTTGTTCTGGCTGACAGTCATTCATTCTCACAGCAATTTCCTTCTGCATCTCCTCAGATCATCCCCAGAACTACCCAGGACAACTCCATCAGTGCTCTGACACCAGGCCTAGTCCAACTCCATGGTAATCAAGACGAAGATCCAGAGACAAACCCCTAGCTTGGTGCCTGCATCTGACCACCCTTGGTGGGTAGTGACCAGCCCAACATGGAAGAAGCCACGGAAGCACATAGCCAGCTGCCCTGCAGCCCCAGGGGCTCGTGGGCCTTGGGAAGTCATTCTCAAAGAGGAAACTGGTCACTTTGAGGTCCCTGAATGGAAGGGTGAACACAGCATTCTTACAACCCTGGCAGCCAGCAGCAGGCCATACATCTTCCCACCCCACCTGTAGGACAGAAGTCCCCTCCTGGGGCACAAGTCCTGTACCTAAAGAGTGCTGGCCCAGTTGGGCTTCATACTAAACCTGGGGAAAGGAGGGGTTGCAAGCTCCTCAGGCAGCAACCAGGATTACCACACATAGGATTCAGCCTTCTGTGGCCCTGGCCAGATTTTTTGCCCCAAGAGAGAACAAGCTCACTCAAAGTGGCGTATCGGTACCCAGGGCCTGTGCATGCCAGGCAAGGCAAAGCTGGCTGAAAGAGCAATCATCCACCTCCGCAAGGGTATGCCAGGAACAAGTGGGCCAGCCACCAACCTCACCCACTCAAGGAGGCAGGGATGGTTAGGTTCCCGCAGCCTGAGTGGCTGCCACCTGACAGCTTATGGAGTGGAGACCTGAAAAAAAGCAGATGGTACTGGGCTCTACCTCTAGGGTAGAATAACTGATTTACCCTGACTGGCAGCGAGTGAGGTTGGGGGCTGGTCCACTGGTTCCAGGCACATCCTTGCAGAGGTGACTGGTTGCTCTTTGACCCAGCTTGGTCTTGCCCAGCATGCACAGACCTTAGTACAACAACTGTGCCACAAATAGAGTCACATCGAGGAAATGAGCAGCAAGGTCAGGAGCAGGGTATGTGCTGCCTTTGTGGTTCCAGTCCATGCATCAGGGATCGTATGGCACTGAGGGCTTCTTGGGTGCCAAGAGGCAGGTCACAGGCCATCCTGAGGAGGACTTTATGTTCAAGTGCAGAAAGGACCCAATCTGGTGGACGAACCACATGGCCAGTTTCTGCATGTGGGCACAGTGCCACGTCTTCCGCCACTTCATGATGTGTCTTACCAGCACTGCAGAGACAGCCTGGAGACAGTGCAAGAGGAAGGCTGACAAGGATGAGATAATGAGTTCCAGCTGCTTTCTGACCCTGAGCTCACCCCAGGTAGGAGTTCTCATTGTTTAGGAGTGGGAGAGCAAGATTGATGGCTTTGAGTGCTTCACCGAGAAGTTGGACAGCAGGGCACTCAGCTCAACTTCACAGCCAATGAGTTGGTGACAGGCTTCAAGACTGTGACAGGCTTTAAGAAGGAGCATCAGAAGGTGGCCAATTATTCTTCAGCCTCAGCCAGGTCTTGGAGCTGGAACAGGCTCCCACTTCACCAGAGATGCCTGCAACACCATCAGAGAGCTCTTTGCCAATCAGCCGAGGCAGGGCCTGGACCCACTCATGGATGTGTTAGTGCTGCTCAGGGCCACCAAACCAACATCCTGGACATCATCCACATACACAAGGAAGCTCTTACCAATGACACGATGAGCAGACAACGTGGCAGAAAGGAAGACAGAGGTGCAGAGGCCGATGACATCAGGATCACAGGAACAGGATTTCTTTGGCCACTTTGATTGAAATTCAACACTTCCATCCAATTTAAGTGAGAAACTTAAAATCACAGATGCAGCATTTCTTGCAACAAGAGATACTGTTTTTTAAAAAAGTCACCTAGGAATTGATAGTGTTGAATGACTAGATATTTGATGGTGGACTTTTTCTAGTTTAAGGACACCTTCTACAGCAGAATAATAACAGTATCCAAGAGCTAGTGCCAGGTATCAATGGTAGTACAAGGATGGTTTTATGCTCAACTGAAACCAAGCTGAATATAGAATTGTGTAGGAAACAGTTAATATGGTGATAGAATACAAACAGTACCAAACTAACTAAATCATACTGTGAATGCCCACACGACCATTGTAATATTGGAAGAATAATAATACCATTTGTTTTATTGCTTTTAAGTATAACTATTTTAGTGTATATGCTGTAGACCTCAAACCCTGTAAATAGTCTCAAAGCAACTGTCTGGATAAAGCCTGCTGTGGATGTCTTTATACTGAAAGATGAATGCTATGATTCAAACGTGTCCCCACCAAATCTCATGTTGAATTATATTTCCTAATGTTGAAGGTGGAACCTGATGTGAGGTGATTTAATCATAAAGGCAAATTTCTCATAAGTGGTTTAGCACCATCCTCTTATTACAGGCAGTGCTCGACTTATGACCACGGTCGGGACCGCGGAACAGTCGTAACACGATTTGGTCATAAGTTGAGTAGGCTATATGTACAGTTGAAATGGTGCACACGGAGATGGTAGTGATGCTGGAAGCTGGTCCACACTGTCGTACGCCCAGCTGGGCAACGTTTGTGCTTCCAGATGCGGAGCAGTCACGGCTAGCGATTGTGGTCGTAAAGTCAAATGATCGTAAGTTGCATAGGTTGTAAGTAGATCAATGTCTGTACTATCCTTACAATCATGAGTGACTTTGCATGAGATCTGGTCATTGAAAACTTTGTCACGTTCCTACTCCGTGTTTTCCTATTGCCCTGTGAGACAAATCTTTCTTAGCCTTGCACGATGATTGAAAGATTTCGGAGGCCTCCTAGAAGCAGAAGCCACTGTGCTTTCTGTCCACCCTACAGATCCGTGAGCCAGTTAAACCTCTTTTTCAAAATAACTCATACAGAAAATGGCAAATGAGGATTGCAGCGTTGGTATAAAGTTACCTGAAAATATGGAAGCAGCTTTGGAACAAGGGAATGGGCAGAGGTTGGGAGAGTTTGGAGGACTCAAAAGAAGACAGATAGCATCGAACATTTTTGGACCTTCTTAGGGACTGCCTAAATGGTTATGACAAAAATGCTGACAGAAACATGGACAGTGAAGGCCAGGTGGAGGAGGTCTCAGATAGAAGTAAGACACATTCTATAAAACGTCTTCCTTTTGGATATGGAAAGCTTACACAATGTCTGTACCATCATTGTGCAGTAGAAGCAGTGACCTTACTTTTTATTTCAGAGGCTCATAGGCAAAAGACACTGTAGACTTGACTTAGATGAGACTCTGGACTTTGTAACTTTGGGTTAATGCTGAAATGAACTAAGACTTCGGGAGACTGCTGGCAAGGCATGATTGTATTTTGCAGTGTGAGAAGGACATGAGATTTGTGGGTCAGGGACAGAATAATATGGTTTGTCTCTATGTCTCTATGAAAATTCATGTGGAGTTACACTCACTAACATTAGAGGTGGGGCCTAGGTGAAAAAAAGATATAATAATAAAGGGGTAGGAGTAAATTCTTCACAGATGGTAAAGCACCATCTCCTGATATGTTTTCCTGAAAGTGACTAGGTTCTCATGAGCTCTGGTTGTTTAAAAGGGTGTGGAGCCTCCTTCCTTGCTCTGTCTTACTCCTACTCCTGTTGTAGGAGTCATCTCAGTGGCCCTTGGCCTTGTGGTATAATTAGGAGGCTCCTTGACTCCTCCCAGAAACAAAAGACACTATGCTTCCCTTACAGCCTGCAGAACCCTGAATCAATTAAACCTCTTTTATTTACGATAATACAGTAAATTGGAACTGCAGAGAGGAGCTTTGAAATGCCTTGAGGGCCTTTTTCCCTTTGTCTTGGCTATTAGCACTGGACTTCTTTATATGCAAGTTTCTGAAGTCTTCTTGAAATTTTCCCCTTTAATGGGGTTTTCTGTTATTGCTACGTAGCCAAGCTGCTCTAGAGATACATGAAAATGTAGAAGCAGGTTCAGAAGTGGGCAGCAAACAAAGATTGGAAGGGTTTGGAAGATGGGGAACTGACTGAAAGGTAAAGGCCTGGTGGGGTTAATTGTGGATCTGAGGGTGGTGGGGGTGGAAGGAAAACAGGAGGGTAAGGTGTCAGGGGGAGTAGGTTGGCAGTCAGGTAGTGAGAGGGTGGGCGATAGCAGGAAGGGGGACTGGCGTGCTACAGAGGCAGAGCCTCATGGAAAACATCAGCTAGGGTAGTGCACCTGTGGCTTTGCTGAGTTTAGCCCCCACGGCTGCTCTCATAGGCTGGGCTTGTGTTAAGTGCCTTTACGCTGTCCACACTGAGGATGCACCCTGCTGGTGGTTCTGTGAATCTGGTGTCGGGAGGGTGGTGACCCCCTGTGTGGGGCTCCAAGCCCATATTTTCCTTCTGCACTGCCAAAGTAGAGGTTTTCCAAGAGGCTCTGTGTTTCCAGCAGACTCCTGCCTGGAAACAGTGGGAGTTGGGGTAGGGGGCAGATCCTTTATGAATGGTGAAGTATCATCTTGATGCTGTCCTCGTGATAGTGACGTCTCATGAGATCTGGTTGTTAAACAGCATGTGGTACCTCTTTTCTCTCTGTCTTGCTCCTACTCCAGCTGTATAAAGCATCTTCTTTCCCCTTGGCTTTCTTGTATGCTCGGGAGGCTTCCTCTGTCTTCACAGAAGCAGAAGCCACTATAGTTCCTTACAGCCTGCAGAACTGTGAGCCAATTAAACCTCTTTTCTTTATGATCATCCAGAACTGGAGTGCTACAAAATGGATCTATAAAATGCCTTCAAGGTCTTTTCCTCATTGTGTTGTCAACCAGTACACAGATTATTTTCTTGCAAGTATCTGAAGCTTTCATAAATTTTATCCCTGATAATGGACTTTTCTTCTTTTACCAAATTGCCAGGCTGCGACAAACATAGCTGACAGTGTAGAAGCAGATTCAGAAGTGGGTGAATATCAGAAGTCGAGGGAGTTGGGGAGGCTTAGAAGACAGGAACAGGAGGAAAAGTTTGGACCACTGAAGAAAACTGTTAAATAATTGTGATCAGAATGCTGACAGAAGGATTGACAGTGAGGGAAAAGATCCCATGTGAAAACAAGGAATTTCCTGGGAACAGGAACCAAGGTTGCATTTAATTGGTCTTAGGAAAGAATGTGGCTGCCCAGCGACCCTGCCATAGAGATCTGTGAAATTATGAACCTCAGGGTGTTGATTTAGGGTGTGTCTGGTAGAATGAACTTCCAGGCAACAAAACTCAGGAGGTATCCTGTCTGCATCGAACAGCCTGTGCTCTTATGTGTGACCAAAGAAATGACTTCAAGTTGGAACTTATATTTAAATGAGAAGCAGAGCTCACAAATTTGGAAAATTTGTGGCCAAAAAGAAGTGGTCAAAAAGAAAAGCTGATTGTCGGGGAAAATTCAAGAATGCTTCAGAAATTTGCATAAAAAAGAGCCCAGTGCTGATTGTCAAGACAATGAGGAAAAGCCTTTAAGGTATTTCAGAGACCTCTGGAGCAGGCACTGCTGTCACTGGCCCTGGGGGCCTAGGAGAGAAGAATGGTTTCTGGTGCTAGCCCCCTGGCTCCACTGCTGTGTGCAGACTCAGGACACTGCTGCATGCATCCCCGTAGCTCTAGCTTCAGCTCCAGCCATGATTGCAATATGCACATGTACAGCTTGGGTCACTGCTTCACAAAAGGGAGTCAAGTTCTAATCCTTGGTGGCTTCCACATAGTGTTAAACCACCAGGTGCACAGAGCATGAGACTAGAACGTTGTGAGCATACATGTAGATTTTGGAAGATGTGTGGAAATGTCTGGGTGTCCAGGCAGAAGCCTGCCAAAGAAGCAGAGCGTCATGGAAAACCTCTAATGAGGCAGTGTAAATGGAAAATACAGGGTTACAGCCCCCACACTGGAGGCCACCATCTGCCAGACCTGATTCATAGATCCCCCCTCGACAGCTTGTACCCTCACTGGGGAAAAGCTACAGGCACTCAACACCAGTCGAGACCAATAGAGCAGCCATGAGGGCTTAAGTCTGCAAAGCCGTAGGTACAGATCTGCCCAAGGCCTTGGGAGCCCAGTCCTCACACTGCCGTGCTGTGGATGTGGGACGAGGATCCAAAAAGGATGATTTTGGAGCTGTAGGATTGAATGACTGGCCTACTGGGTTTTGGTCTTTCGTGTATCCCTTGAGTCCCATCTGTATTTTGTTGTTCTTTCTGGCAGTTTTTTCCGTATGCTGGGAATGCTTACCTGTACTGTTACTGTACCTTGGAAGTAGTTAACTTGCTTTATACTTCAGAGGCTGACAGGCAGAAGGGACTGTAGCCCTGTGTCACATGAGACTTTAAACTCAGACATTCGAGTAAGTGCTGGAGTGATTTCTGACATTGGGGGACTGTAAGGAAGGGATCATTGTATTTTGCAATGTGAGAAGGACATGAGATTTGGGGGGCCAGGGGCAGAATAATGTGATTCGGCTCTGCGTTTCTACCAAAACTCCTGTGGAATTGTGATGGGAAATGTTAAAGATGTGGCCTGGTAGAAGGTGATTTAATCATGGTGAAGAGTGAGGGGTTGGAAATAGGCGAGGATGATGGTGGGTTGGAGGTGAAAGGCAAGGTTGGGGAGACGATCGTTCACAAATAACATCTCAGTACTGTCCTTGGTGAATTTTCTTCATGATTTTGGAGGTGTGAGATTGAATGAATATGGTCCTGCTGGGTTTTGGACTTGCATTGGGCCTGTGGTCCCATTTGTGTTATTTCTTCTGAGAAATGTGTTATTTCCCTTTTCTCTTTAGATTGAGAAAGCTTACCCAATGCCTGTGCCATCATTATACCTTAAAAGAAAATAACTCCTTTTTAAATTCAGGGACTTATAGGCAGAAGGGACTGTGCCTTGTCTCAGATAAGACTTTGAACTTTTAATACTTGAATTAATGATGGAATAAGTTAAGAGTTTTGGAAACTTTTGAAAAGGCCTGATTGTATTTTGCTCTGTAAGAAGGACAAAAGATTCAAGGGGTCAGGTCAGTATAATATGGTTTGGCTATGTGTTTCTACCAAAATTCATGTGGAATTGTAATCCCAAGTGTTGGAGGTGAGGCCTCATATGAGGGGATTATGGGTGGTAGTGGAAGGAAAATGGGGTGGGTGAGGTTGGGAGTAGTAAGTTGGCAGTAGGTTGGTGGAAGGGTGAGGCCCACACAGGGTGCTGCCATCCTTTAGAC